TGTTACATAGGTAAGTTCATGTTACAGGGACTTGTTTCATTGATTATTTCATCACACAGGTATTAAGTCCAGTACCTTATGGTTATCTTTTCTGCTCCTCTCTCTCCTTCCACCCTTCGCCCTCAAGTAGACCTCAGTGTCTGTTGTTTCCTTTTTGTGTTCATAAGCTCTCATCTAAATTTGCAGTTATCCAGTTTTAGAACACCACGAAAAAATAATTACTTATTTTAAAATTATTTAAAAAAAAAAACTTTCCAAACAATTGAAAAACACTATTCTACTCAAATCTCAAAAATATCCAAATATATTTTTTTAACAGAAGAATTAAAAAATTATGTTCTCTGGATTCTCTATTGTTGAACCTTTAAAAAAATGTTTTCAGTGAATAATATGTTCCGAGGTGGATTCGACTACAGTATACATTACCACTTTACCTTTACAGCATTCTTCCACTAAACATAACTCAATAAACTTCAACTTGGCTGAATTTATATTCATCTAGGGTAGGTGATTTAATACTTCAAAAAAAAAAAAAAAAAGATGGAGCTTCCTGGCTTCAAGAAGCTTACAGACGTGTGTGGAGGGACAGATATATAAAGATTAGAAGCGAAAGCAGTATTATATAAAATTTAAAGAGACAGAAAAAGAGAGTGTGTGTTATTCCTCCTTGAGGTAATTTATAATCTAATGCCAAAAAGAAAAAAATTAAGCTGAAAGCTGAGTCATGCAAGAAGTTCCTTTTCTTTTTGTTCATAAGCAGATAGCTACAGATAAAAGGTTAATTATCTCCACAGGTAGCTTCCATGTTCACCTTATCTTTTGAAAAGTGTCGATTTACTGAGTGTAAGATGAATACATAATTGACTATCCCCCAACCTGCGCCTTTTCTCTTGCAACTTGTGGATTCAGCGATGTGACCATACCCTTCTTTTCTCCTCCAGTCTGTTTTTTTCCCTTTAAATACCGAAGCCCCCAAAATCATCTTTGGAGAAAGGCAGACCACAGATTGTGTCTGTGATTCGTGTTTTTTCTTCTGGGTCTCGTCCTTAACCTCAGCAAAATAAACTTCTAAACTGATTGAGACCTGTCACAGAAACTTTTTGGTTTACAATTGTTTCCCCTTGCTTGCTCACTACACTACTTAAGCAAAGTGGTCTTCTTTCTGCTCCTTGAGCATGCTAGTTTTCTTCCTAGATGAGGATTTTTGCAGCACATGCCTAGCTCCTTGTCAAGTGTTTCAGCAAGGCCTTCTATGATCATCCTCTTGAGAGCAGCTTCCCCTCCCACTCATTCTTTGTTCCATGAACCTACGTTATTTTCTTCACATCACTTATTATCTGAAATTACCTTATTTGTCTCCTTTTAAGATTATGTGTCTCTCTACAATAAAAGGTTCTTGTTCACTATTATATTCCAAGCACTTTGAAAAATACTTGGTAGGTACTCAATAAATACTTGCTTAAGGAATGCTAATGGAAAAAACAAATGCGCCTTCAACAATATAAAAATACTGTAGACGGGAAAAAACTTATGTAACGGACACACGGTGAAAATTTATTATCCTAGATCTAATAGATGAGAAACTGCATAAATATACTCTGTTGCTAAGATTAAAGGCTTCTGACAAGGGTGCCAACACCAGTCAAAGGGCAAAGCACTCTTTTCAATAAGTAGTGCTGAGACAACTGGATAGCCTCATGCAATAGAATGAAAGTGGACCTCTCCATCATACCATATACAAAAATCAATGCAAAATAATCACAGACCTGAATGTAAGATTCAAAACTATAAAAATCTTAAGAAGAAAACATAGGAGTAAATCTTTGTGACACAAGGCTAGAAAATGGTTTTTTATACAACACAAAGTACAAGTGACAAAAGAAACAATAAACTGAACCTCATAAAAAAACCTTTTTGTTTCAAAAGACGCCATCAAGAAAGTGAAAAGACAATCCACAAAATGGGATAATATATTTGCAAATCATCTAGCTCATAAGACACTTGTATCTAGAATATATAAAGAACTCAAAAGTAAACAATAAAAAGACAAAAAAGTCCCAATTTCAAAACCAGGTGAAATATTTAAAGACATTTCTCCAGAAAAAAAAGTACAAATGGCACATAAAAAATGCTCAACATCATTAGTCATAAAGAAAACGCAAATCAAAATCACTGTGATATAACCACTTTTCACCCACTAGGATGGCTATAAAGAAGAGAATACAGGTGTTGGTGAGGATGAGAAGAAACTGGAACCTCATTCGTACACTGCTGGTGGAATTCAAAAATGGTTCACATGCTCTGGAAAACGTTTTGGGAGTTCTTTAAAGCGTCAAACATAGTTACCATATATCCCAACAGTTCCACTCCTAGATAAATATCCCATAGAAATGAGGTATATCCACACCAAAACTTATACACGCAATGTTCATAGGAGTATTATCTTAATAGCTAAAAAGCAGAAACAACCCAAATGTTCATAAACTGATCAAATATAACAATACATAACCTACTCATACAATGAAATCTTATTTGGCAATAAAAAGTAGTGCAGCTGACCCTTGAACAACATGGGTTTGAACTGTGCAGGTCCACTTCTAGGTGGATTTTTTCAGTAAGTTACACCAAGTGTGCCTGCCTCTCCTGCCTCCCCTCCCCACTTCTCCACCTCTTCTGCCTCTGCTCCCAGTGAAATAGCAAGACGAACCCTCTTTTCCCTCCGCAGGCTCTTCAGTGTGAAGACAAAGGAACACCTCTATGATGATTCACTTTGCTTAATCAATAGTAAATGTATTTCCTCTTCCTTTTAATTTTCTTAATAACATTTTCTGTTCTCTGGCTTAAGAATACAGTATATAATACACATAACACATAAAATATGTATTAATGAACTGTTTACATTACCAGTAAGGCTTCCAGTCAACAGCAGGCTATGAGTACTTATTTTTTGGGGAAGTCAAAAGTTATACACTAATTTTTGACTGCACAGGGGGTTGGTCCCCCTAACCCCTGAGTTGTTCACTGATACATGTTACAAATAGAGGAATCCTGAAAACATTATTTTGAGTAAAAGAAGTCAGTTATAAATGACTACATATCATCTGACTCCATTTATATGAAATGTCCAGATTAGCCAAATCTATAAAGTGTGTTAATGGATGCCAGGAATTTGGGGTATGTTCCAAGAGTTTGTATTTGGAGTCTGTATGGGTAGGAATTGGGAATGAATGCTAAGAGATATGAGACTTCATTCAGGAGTGACGAAAAACTCTAAAATCAGATAGCAGGGATGGTTGCAAAACTTTGTGAATATGGTAAAAACCAGTGAACTGTATATTTTAAAACGGTGAACATTACAGTATGTAAATTACAGCTCAATAAAACTATTATAAAAAAGAATAACTGAAGATACTAGTAAGGTTAATTTTTCCAGACACTGATTCATTTCCAAATTAATCATTTTTTCAATGAGTATTTATTCTACCTTTATTAAATACTAGGGATATGAAGACGAATGGCATGACCCTTCACCCTTGGGGAGTTTCCAGATTAGTAGAGGCTGTTCTCCATGAAGACTTGCTCAATCTGTGCAGGACATTTTATTCTTTGGACATTCAGACAGCATTCCAAAAGAAGAGTATGCAGTACATTTGTTAAATAAAGATAAACAGCTTTGAATTGCTAGTCAGAAAATAAATTGTATTTTTGCCTCCAATTTTATATACAATGCATACTTCAGAAGGTTTAGTAATCTTGGAGCTACAATCATTACACCAATCATTGCTATCAGGAACGTTTCCTGAACATCTGCAGCCCAAGTCAGAATATAGCTTGTTCTCTTTTTCCCCCTCGTCTTCCTTCCCCTCATCTATATTCCATATCCTGTTGACTTGTGATAATTAGGTATAAAAGTGATGGGTTCTGTCACTGATGCTGGACAGCTCAGTGATGGGGTAAGTCTTGTATTTTCTGACACGTTCTTCCCTCCCTAAGATGCCCCATGAGGAAAGAGACAATAGCCTATTGCATTCCAAGTGCCTACTACCAAATGGTAGTAGGTGCCCACTGAATAAAAAAAAATTTCCATTGCACTGACATTATATGAAACAGTCTCTAAATATACTAACACCATTCTAATTCTTTCATTCTGGATGTTTTACCTTTTCTTTGTGATATATAATTATATTTGTTAAATGAATAGATGTCTAATTACTCAACTGAATTTTGGGAGTGGACAGAAGAAGAGGCAGGGATGAACACATGTTGCCATTCCAACTCCTTAATTTATTTTCCCAACACCTAAGTTAAAAGTTATACATAAAATACCCTTGCTTGTAAAAGGAGGACAGCTGCTATGTTGAAAGCATCTAAGATACAATCTAGTTGAAACTGTTTACTAATCGAGAGTCTTTTTGTACACTACTATTTTTAGACTAACTTGGGACCTTGGGCAAATCACTCAACCTGAATAAACCTCAGTTTCCTCCTTTCTAAAATTGGAATAACAATTATATCTAATCCATCTCTCAGGATTATTATACAGTATAGTTAAATGAGAAAAGAAACGTGAAAGACTTTGAAAAAGAGCATTATCAGTACAATAAATCATTTATGTACACCTTACATGCATTTCAATGCTTATACACTTTACTCAGCATATACCTACTGGAACTATATTGACTGGTGTCTTATACAAATTAAACATCATATAAAATTTTTCTCAGAAAATGGCATGACCTTGTTGATCCCTTACTGAAAGTATCTCAATCACTTAGTATTCTTAAATCTTTAAAAATGTGAAGCTACTTGCTAAATGATCACCCTTACTGAATTATCAGGTTCCAGCATTGTAATTCTTTGATAAACCTGAGCTCCAATAACGAAAGTACACATCAGATTAACTTTTATAAAGGTTCCAAACTCTATGAATGGTGCATTCCAGTTCTTTGGAGCATCACTATACCTTTAAAGTTATGTTCTTGGTAATAAAAACTACTTACTTTTGCAGCACAGGATCGTATCACCTCCTAAAAGAAATACAATAAAATAAGGAAGTATTCATAATTTCACTAAATAAAGTATTGACTGTTTTCAAAACACTCAGATGTTAATCTTCTAATAACCTAAATCAGCATTTGGAAGTTTCTTTATCCATTATCCTGCCATTGTCTCTGTTTCCAATAAAAGAGACTTAATGACATGTTCAAGGTAAATCTAACTTGCCCAAACAAATGGCACTGTGAAACTCCTGAGGGCTCACAGGTTATCTGTCTCAAGAAAAACTTGCTCTTCAATCTAAAGAATAATAAAATTCTATACTAGAACACTAACAGGTGTAAAAGACACATGGTGAGTTAACTGCAATATATAATTATCTCTATAAATAATAATAGCCATAAATATCATTCCCATATTATTTGTATCAGATGAAATCTAATATTAAATAGTAAACACTACTAAATGATAAAATATATGACTAGTATTGAAGGAGCTACAGAAAGGAACTGTACAATTCATGGTACGAGGGCTAAGAAAAGATCATTTTGAAAGAGAAACTAGTAAAAGTCGACGTATTATGGACAATTTGAAAATTTGCTGCTAAGGAGACACTAAAAATACTCAAGTCCAGCCGGGTGTGGTGGCTCCCGCCTTGTAATCCCAGCACTTTGGGAGGCCGAGGCAGGAGGATCACGAGGTCAAGAGACTGGGACCATCCTGGGCCAATGTGGTGAAACCCTGACTCTACTAAAAATACAAAAATTAGCTGTGCGTGGTGGCACGCACCTGTAGTCCCAGCTACTGAGGCAGAAGAATCGCTTGAACCCGGGAGGTGGAGGATGTAGTGAGCCAAGATTGCGCCACTGCACTCCAGCCTGGGTGTCAGCATGAGATTCCGTCTCAAAAAAAAAAAAAATACTCAGGTCCAATTAGGAGTTAGCCAGCATGTATCATCAGCCTAGTACAGAGCTAGTGAAAAATGGTCATAATCAACACGGAGTTTAGGAAAAAAGAGAACTGAAAAAAAATAGATAATTCTCAGTTATTGGGAGCATTACCACTTAGTCATAATATAAATCATTTAATTATTTATCAGCATACTTGACTGCATGTTGCTGCCACAGCAATACCTAAAAGCATTCTGCAACCTAGGTAAGACCTCACAGGTGGACTGTACCTTGAGAACCTCAGTGTATCACATTCTAAGTTTTTAGATCCAGAAATTTGATTTTATCAGTGCATCCACAGTTGCTCAAAATCTGGAATATCTATTAATTTTTTTATCTAGAAATTTCTGAGAGCCAGATACTGTGTCTAAAGCATATCAGTAATTCAGTCACTAAAAGGAGACAGTTCAACTGACTGTGGACATGGGAGTCCAACTACCTAGGCTGAATCCCAGCTACAGTGCTTACTACTTGTGTGATCCTGGTTATGTGGCTTGATCTCTGCAAGCCTCAAATTCCTCTTCTGGAAAATGGGAATAATACTCATCCCCATAGGACGGTTTGAGAATTAAACACAATAAAATGTAAAGCATTTAGCACAGTGCCAGAAATATATCAATTATTACTAGCAATTAAACAGATGTTAGTTATCATTAATCAATATATAAGGTGGTATCTCCTGTGGGGTAGAGAAAATTAATCTTCTGTCAAAATTGGCATGAAACATTTTCAAACCATTCAATCCATACTCCTATGGCTCTACTTAGCAATCAACTCTGTGATCATTAGCCTGGGCTTCAGGTTAAATTTAGATAGGAAGAGATCTTGAGTGTTCAGGCTGCCAGAATGGTCTACCTTTTATTATATTATAAGGTGTATTTTCATGGATTCTCACTTATTAATCAACTTTTTGTAGGATTGATTAATCTTAATAGATACTTCAGATTCTGAGCAATACTGGATGTACTGATAAAATCAAATTTCTGGATCTGAAAACTTAGAACGAGATTTACCAGTGCTCTCGAGATACTGTCCACCCGTGAAGTCTTACCTGGGTTGCAGAATCCTGCTAGGTATTGCTGGGGCAGCAAAATGCAGTCAAGTATGCTAATTATGAAATAATTAAGTGATTTATATTATGACTAAATGGTAATGCTCCCAATAACTGAAAATTATCTATTTTTTGTATCTTTTACTCATTAATGCCTAAACAACTATTATATATCTGCTGAACTGAATTTATTATGCAATTCACTCACACATACCCCCCAAAAATTACACCCTAATACTGTACCATAATTTATTAGAAAAACATTTCTATTGTAATAACAAATAAATAAAAAAAGGAATTTGAGTTCTACTGAAATTGCAAAAAACAAGAGAAAAGGCATAATGACAAAAGGTGGGAATTCAGTCAACCTAAATGTTTGCAAAATATAGAATGAGGCTGCCATGGGAATAAAGACGACATTTTGTTTGTATTCCCATACATACTATGTACACTCTGAAAGAAAATACATTGCAGATAGCAACAGAAAAATAAATTCAGTGAATTCTCTCAATAAAGGAAAAATAATGGTTTTTAGAAACCAAAGCAAAAGCTTTCATTTCCAAAGGCAGCTTCTATCTACCTCAATACCAAAGCAGACATATTCTCTAAATAATTTTAAAAAGAAAAGATATCATAAAAGCTAAATAAAGTAATAATTTGAAGTAAATTTTTTCTTTTATAATAAATTATCAATTTGCTTCTCCCTTGCCTTTGATTTCATTTCTTAAAAATCATTTTCCTGATTTTATTTTTCCTTTACATCTACTTTCTTTAGTTCTTACATCCTTTCATTTATCTGAGGATGACAGGTATATAAAATGAAATTAGAAAAAAGCTACAAGACTTAGATGGTTCCAGGATGTTAAGTTTTACAGTATAAAGACCAACAGACTGTAGGAAACTTGTTTTTATAAATATGTTGGTGAGCTGTTTTTATGTCTGTAGATGAAGTTACTTTGCCATGCAAGTTTTTACACAAGGAACACATTTTTTTTTTCCCTGGTGAAGAAACGTGTTTCTCTTCATCTTTAAAGCTCAATGTATCTATTCAGACTTCCTTTTAAAATCTAGAACACCGTGCATTATTTGATTACATTAAAAATGTTAAAATACAAAGAACTATAATATTGAAATAAATTTATTTATAGTTATATATGCTAAAATTTAACGAAGAAATATATATATTTTTCTATATTCCTACATATATTCTGGGTTTAGGTTAAATCTAAACCCAGAGATGGAGTGTAATCTGCATCCTGGTATACCTTCAAGTCTCTAACTTTATGAAGAAAAGGAGAGAGGAAGAGAGCATAGTCAGAACTAAAGCTGTCTCAGTGTAGTTCCTTGTATAGTTTAAAACTAATCGAGATCTCTATCAAGGGAGCAAGAAAAGGGATAATATTTATTAAAGTCAGAATAAAACAATGAACAAGGCTGCACAGCCCCTGTCTTCAAGGAGCTCGAAGTAATTCTAATAAAAGGACTTCCACTTAATTCTACTAAAAGTATGGTCAAAGATTTTTTTCAGGATGCTTAGGCTTCTGATTACATTTGACCATTTATCTTTGAGAAAAATTTTCTAGGAATTTTCGCTAACAGAATGCTACACTACCTTTAACAAAGCATTTTCCTTCTCTTCATTTTCATGATCTATTTTCCAATTTTATGGGCAATACCTGGTTTCTGTGGTACTTTTCTTATTAGTAGTGAGATAAAACTTTTAAATACGCTTATGAAACACTTCTCTCCTCCTTTTAGAAGAACAGTTTATTTCTTTTACCCATTTCTTTAACAAAGAAAAGATTTACTATTTTTTCTTTACTGTTTAGTTTTTTGCATTTTAACATGCTTCTTTAATACATTTTATGTAAACATTTCCCCTGGCTGGTGTTTATTGCACATATATGTGTGTGTTTGTATGTTTTGCATATACACACATACATACACGACCTTATATTTTTAAACAGAGAAATTTAAAATTATATGTCAATAGTCTATTAGTATTTTAGGAGAGGATTTTCCACTGCTTTTAAAATTAGTATGTTTTCATTCATTTGAGAAATATTTGCTGGAGCATTTCCCTAGTTTTAAAAAACATCTGGATTTTCATATTTAACTCCTTGGTAAATGAGAATTTGATTTAGGTGAGTGACCTAAGATACAGATGTAAACTGACTGTATTTTTCAGTTAACTCATAGTTAACAATGTTTCCCAACACCATACAAGGGAACAACTCTTCCTTTCCCTACCGATTTATCTTTCTATCTTAGTGAATCTGAATTATACTACAGGTATTATTTCAGCTTCATTATTACTTTGGCTCTTATAGAGAAGTTCGAAGATAGCTTAATTCCTATGTAGATAACCAGTCTTTTTTTTTCCCCCATCATATCTATGATTTTTCTTTAAGACATCTTTAAAAATCAAACTATTTCACTAGGATATTTCTAAGGATACTGGCATCTTTTCATTAATTGGTCTGGTAATAGATACTTTCATTTTACAGATTTGGGACTTTAGCACAGGAAGGCCTTTTGTATTTGATCTTTGTTATCTCTTTTCACACATGCTAGTCTCTTCTTTAACAACACTGATGAACCATGTGCACAATCTATCTCATATTCATCTCTTCTCTCATTACCAACAAAAATAACTAACATTTATCAGTGGCACTATGTATCAGACACCCTGTTAAGAGGTTTACTTTTAGGGTCTCACTGAATCTTAAAAATCCCATAAGGTAAGAAATACTACAATCCCCATAATGGCTCACGCCTGAAATCCCAATACTCTGGGAGGCTGAGGCAAGAGGACTGCTGACTGCTTGAGGCTAGGAGTTGGAGACCAACCTGGGCAACATACCAAGACCCTGTCTCTATAAAAAAATTTTTTTTAAATTAGCTAGGCCTGGTGGTGTATGCCTACAGTCCCAGCTACTCAAGAGTCAGAGGCAGGAGAATTGCTTGAGCCCAGGAGTTCGAGACTGCAGTGAGCAATGATCACACCGCTGCATTCCAGCCTGGGCCACAAAGTGAGACCCTGTCTCTAAATTAAAACCACCTCATTTTATAGATGAGGAAAACTAGGTTTACTTCAACTTATCCAGTCACAAAGCTGGCACAGGTTGGAGCCTATGCTATTCCTATGCCTAAGGAGCTGGACCCTAGAGCTACACTCTTAACCATAGTTTTCACCTATCTCTTTTTTCTGTATTGTTGTATGCTTCTGAAATTAGTTCTCTATGCTACACTATTGATCTGATATTTTAAAGTGTCAACTTTCTCTTTTGCAATGTGGAATTAATTGAAGCTTACCTTTTGATTTTCTTTAAATTCATTTTATCTTAGATTTCTTTTTAAAATTAAAATCTTGGGACTCTCATCTCTTCATTAATAGAAATTCTATTTTCTTCTATTTTATTGAGAACACACTCTAAATATTCTGTTTCTTACAGCAAAGCATTTTAAGATATGCTTTGACTTACTTTCCTTTTTTGGGGAAGGGGGGGACACAGTCTCACTTTGTGAGACTCCAACCCAGGTTGGAGTACAGTGGCACGATCTCGCCTCACTGCAACTCTGCCTCCCGGGTTCAAGCGATTCTTGTGCCTCAGCCACCTGAGTGGCTGAGATTACAGGTGTGCGCCACCATGCTGGGCTGAGAAAGTCACGGTTTCTCTTTTTTCCTAGGAGATGGAGTCATACCCGTATGCTAAGTCCTAGTGGTCATCTGGTTCAGAGCCCTCCATTATCACTAGGTCCTGGGCTAGTCTTTACAGAGATATCAAGTCAGAACAGCATGACAGATTATCCTAAATTCAGTTTGTCTGTTGCAATTAAGGGTTTAGGAATAAGTAACTGATAGGAACCACAAAAGTATAAGAAGGTCTAATTTTAAGTAATTCACTTACTTCATTAAATGAGTATTTATTGGCATGGCAATGTAAAACAGGATAGAAACAGTTTTAAAGTTTCAACTGCATAAAATAAACATACTGTGACAGTTTCAAGTCTCTGTTTAACTAGATGCATCTTTGTTGAAGAATTTTCAGTGTGGACAAATTCATCAATCTGAAAAGAGCCTTGATGGGGTAGTTTTGGACATGTACACAGGGCATCTTGACTTTGGTGTATTCCAGGTAATGGAAATGTTCCATTGTAGCATTTGAACATTTCAGCCTCCTGCTGGGCAACTGAAGAAATGAATCCATAATTAGTTAAATCATCATAGTAAAAGCATAATTAAGCCCCAAAACTGTAGCATTCAACATATAATCAGAAACTGCATTAACACGTCTTAAAAACGGCGTAATAATAAGACACTATGACTAGCAAAATTTGAAATTATTTGCTGCTATAAAATCATAAGGAAGGAAACAGAATTTCATGTCAGGCAGCATTATAATTGAGCTGTGAAGGCCATGTAAATTGGGATGGGAGACTAACTTTAAATATATGTATACAGAAAAATAATATTAAAAAATCAAAGGCATAACAGAATTAAGGGAAATACTAAAATAATACTTATTCACAAGCGACTCTAAAACAACTATTTTCGTATTTCTGTACCCTTCTTAATTTTTACACACATTCTATGTAAGATACCATAATGTAAATACAATTTAACATTTCTCAATTTAAATGCAAGTATTTCTCATATTTCTACAATGGCGTAATTATCATTATTAAATGTTTTACAGTATCTCATTTAATGAAGCTTCGTAATTTTTTTTTTTACACATTCTCTTTTTTTTTTTTTTTTTGGAGACGAAGTCTCGCTCTGTCGCCCAGGCTGGAGTGCAGTGGCCGGATCTCAGCTCACTGCAAGCTCCGCCTCTCGGGTTCACGCCATTCTCCGGCCTCAGCCTCCCAATGGGACTACAGGCGCCCGCCACCTCGCCCGGCTAGTTTTTTGTATTTCTTAATAGAGACGGGGTTTCACCGTGTTAGCCAGGATGGTCTCAATCTCCTGACCTCGTGATCCGCCCGTCTCGGCCTCCCAAAGTGCTGGGATTACAGGCTTGAGCCACCGCGCCCGGCCTTACACATTCTCTTGTACTGAATACAGTTGGTCCTTTGTATCTGTGGGTTCCCTATCCATAAATTCAACCAACTATGGATCAAAAATATTCAGAAAAAAATAACAATACAATAATACAGTATAACTATTTACATAGCATTTATACTATATTAGGTATTATAAGTAATCCATAGATAATTCCAAGTATATGAGAAGATGCCCACAGCTTATATGCAAGAACTATGCCATTTTACATAAGTGACTTTAACATCCATAGATTTTGGTATCCCCAGGGGTTCTGGAACTGCTAGTCCTCTATGGATAACAAGAGATAACTCTATAGTGTTATCTGTTCTCCCTTATAGATCACGCAAGAATAATTACTTTCATAGCTGACTTTGTTTCTTAACATAATTCTTATTTTGGAGTTAATTCTCTCGAGTGAGGAAGATGGCTCAAAGGGTGAATGTTTTGATGATGACTGATGATGATGACGATGATAACGAGCATGGTAGCATCTGTGCTGCACTTTGTATTTTTTGGGGTGCTATCACATACATTACCTCATTTGATCATTGAAAACATATGAACTTGAAAAATTTTAAATGTCTATATATAAAAAGGAGAAAAAATATATAAACTCAACATTTAAAAAAGTATTTCCTTAGTTATATAATCTTTAAATGGAAAGCCTTCCTAAACATGACATGAGAGAAAGAAATCTCAAAACAGGGAATGATAATATGGAATCAATGGATGAACGTTCAGTGAGTCTATGGACTACTGAAATTACTATGGAAATGTGCGTGTGTTTATATAAGCGTTGCTGGAAAGCTGATTCATAATTTTTATCAGGTTATCTATCGAAGGATTACATGAGTCAGAAAAGGTTAATAATTGCCAACATTCTTATGGACCAATGAACAGATTTTGTAACATGAACATTTAAAGAGTCTTCATTAAAATAAAAAAAAACTGGCCAGGCATGGTGTCTCAAGCCTTAATCCTGGCACTCTGGGAGGCTGAGGTGGGAGGATCATTTGAGCCTAGGAGTTTGAGACCAGCCCTGGCAAGACAGCGAGACCCTGTTTCTACAAAATATTGAAAAATTAATCGGGCAGGGTGCCATGTGCCTGTAGTTTCCAGCTACTGAGGAGGCTGAGGTGGGAGGATTGCTTGAGAGTGGAGGTCAAGGCTGCCACTGCATTCCAGTGCAGACTGGACGACAGAGCTAATGTGATTTTTAAAATCATATTTAAGACTTAAATATATAAATAAACTACTACAATAAAAATCGAAAAGGAAATGACGTAATAGCATTCTTCTATTTTTGACCAAAATGGAGTAGGGACTAGATTTACTCTGCTGCTTGAAACTACCAAGAAAAGGACAAACTGTATAAAAGAAAAAAAGTCTTTCTTTGCAGACATGATTGTCTAGCTAGAGCTAAAGTGGAGTAAGGCAAGTGAAGCACACAGGCAGCACATCTGTGTAAAAATTCTAAATGGAATCTAAAAAAAACAAGGCACTAGAATTGACTTTAGCAATGTTGTAGGAGATGAGATCAAAACACAAAAATTCTCTATATGTCTATATACAAGTAATTAAGAACCAAAAATTGAAAATAAAAAAATACATATGCCATTTACTATGGCATAAAAAACATGATATACTTTGGAGAAAAAAAAAGGATGAAAAATGTGAAAGACCTGTACACTGAAAACTAAAAATACTGCTGAGAGAAACTGACAAAGCAATTTGTCATTGTATTCACTGGGTGGCATACGCAATACTGGTAAGATGTAAATTCTTCCCAAATGATCTGAAGATTCAATGCAGTCCCACTCAAAATTCCAGCAGGTTATTTTCGGAGAAATTGTAAAATAAATTCTAAAATCGACATGGAAATGAATATTACCTAGAACAGCCAAAACAACTTTGAAAAAGAACAGAAAACCTGACTTCAAATCTTATAAAGCTACAGTAATCCACACAGTTTGCTACTGGCATAAAGATAAATAAATAGATCAACAGAATAGTACAAAGTGCCCAGGGTGTATAGACAAAGTATAAAGGCCATTCAGTGGAGAAAAGACAGTTTTGCCAACAAATGGTGTTAGAATAGTTGGATATTCATATGTGAAAAAAATGAACTTTGATCCATACTTTACAACATGTACAAAAGTAACTCAAAATGAACTACAGATCTAAATGTAAAACCTAAATCTATAAGACTTCTAGAAAAAAAACAGAGAACACTTTTGTGAACTTGGGTTAGGCAAAGATTTCTTAGATACAACACTAAAATGCATAAAAGAACAAACTGATAATTTGAACTTCATTAAAATTTCAAACTTCTGTTTTTTAAATTGTTAAGACAATTAGAAAACAAACCAGACTGGGGAGAAACAACCTGCAAATCATCTGACTGATAAATACTTGTACACAGAAAACACAAATAAATCTCAAAACTCAATAATCAGAAAACAAACAGGACAATTTAAAAAATAGACAAAAGATTTGAAAAGACAATTTACTGAAGAAGCTATATGGATGACAAGCATGCAAAAAAAGGTGCTCAACATCGTTAGTCATTAGGGAAAAGCAAATTAAAACCACAATAAAATAGCACTACACGTATATTAGAATGGCTAAAATTCTTTCAAGTCCTGGCTCCACATCTGTGTAAAAATTTTTTACACATCTGTGTAAAAATTCTAAATGGAATCTAAAAAAACAAGGCACTAGAATTGACTTTAGCAATGTTGTAGGAGATGCAATCAAAACACAAAAATTCTCTATATGTCTATATACAAGTAATTAAGAACCAAAAATTCTTCAAAGACTGGCCATTTCAAAGTTGGCAAGTACACTGATACACTAATGGTGGGAATGTCAAATGTTAAACGGCATAACCACTTCAGAAAATAGTCTGGCAGCTTCTTAAGAAGCCAAACATACATCTGCAATATGATCCAGCCCTTCTACTCCTAGAAATTTATCCAAGAGAAATGAAAGCATATGACCATACAAAGACTTGTATGTGAATATTTGGAGAAGCTTTATTTGTAATACCTAAAACCTGGATACAACCCCAATGTCCATTAACAGGTGAATGGATAAACAAACATTGTGTGGCACAGCCATACAATTAAACAACACCCAACAATATAAAGAATAAATTACTGATAAATGCTGAAACACAGATTTATCAAAGTACTTATAAGTGAAAGGAGCCAGATGAAAAAAAGAGTACATGATATATACAGTTTCACTTACACACAATTCTGGAAAATGCAAACTAATTTATAGTGGTTGCCTGGGCTAAGGGTGAGGAAGGAACAGAACGCAAAAGGGCACAAAGTAATTTCTTGGGATGACGAATATGTTCATTATCTTGATTGAGGCAATGGTCTCTCAGGTGTATAAATGCCTGAACATCAGATAGTACATTTAAATATGTTCAGTTTATAATATGTCAATTATACCTCAATAAAGCCATTCACAAAAAAAAAAAAAGAAAAAATTGTAATGAAAGGGGTAATTATTCTTACTATGCAGAGTTCTCATGAAATCCACTAAAGATTAATAATCGAACAGAAACATGGGCAAAGAACCATTAAAGAATATTCACAAAAGAACTATGTGTCCAACAAAAATATAACCTCATTAAAAATTAAAGTAATTAGTAATAAAAATGCAAATTAGAAAGTGCCTTTTTTTTTTTTTTGCCTGTTTAACTGACCCACTGTACCTCAAGATATTATTTCCCAAGGAATGTTAAGGGTAGCTAGGTGTGTACTGAAGCACTATTTAAATGTTGAAAAAGACGTAACAGTGTAATTGCACAACAACAGTTGTTTAAAGTACAGTATATTCATTTAATGAAAGGGAATTTATCCACTAAAATTATGTATAGAAATGTAATTATCACAATGGAAAACTGCTCATAATATATTATTCATTGGAAAAAAATAATTTATAAAACAATAGACAATATACACAAAAAGACAACCATTTTTTCAAGTTACCAGCCTTGGTTTCACCAACTATGAGTCTGAGATGATGCATATAAACAATATTAGGTCTCTGATCTTTATATTCATGTACTATTTCATTTAGGCACACTAAATGAAGAACAGCTCAATAATAATTGGTGTTCTCTCCCTGCAG